AGCCCCTAGACTACCCCCGGCACTTAAACCACCGACCACAAATCCAAGGTCTAAGTCGATCTTGGATTTCGCGTCCTTTAGCAATCCGTCGTTCAGATTCGCTGGGTCCGAAAGCCAAGCACAAATCTCCCAACTGCTCTGCATCGGGGCCGGGAAGGGATCTTCGGGAGCCATCTTGTAGGTGGGACACACCACCACGCATTGGAGCAGCGACGCCAAACCCCTAGCAGGAGCTAGGACAAGGGTCGGACTACCCGTGATAAAGCCTCCACCGTAGAAATAGATAACGAGAGGGAAGCTCTGTGGCGAGGATGACTTAGGCCAGACGACCTTCGTTCGGCTCTTCCAGCCATCCTTAAGTTCGATGTCTATCCACGCTTCATCAAGGTCATCCGGACAGGGCCCCATTTCTTCGACTCCAGCAGCTACCGCATCCACAAGCTGGGCGCGCATTACTTCAACCGACGGAATCGCATTTTGATCGGCCATGTTTGATGCACAGAATAGAATCGGGAGATTAGAGAGAGGACGATTGTGCCTGTATCATTCTCGTTCTCTCAACATTCGAAAATCCTTGGAAATATATATCCATCACGGGTGCCTGGAGCGGACATGTAAATGCTCCGGAGACCGGGCAGCACCCTGCAACGCTGTTCCTGGCTGTAAATGAGCAGATCATGGTTTTGCGTTGTTTTCTTAGACTACCTCTATCAATAGTCAAAAGCCCAGTACACAACACGACTCACTATGTTCCATTATTATCGGCGACAATGGGTATTAGAAATCAGTTGTCAACAGAGCCGGCCAGAATAGCGTCAGACTAAGCACCCCATGTGCGAATGAATACTGTAATATACTAGACTTATCGCTTATCGATAATGCCATATCTTGTCATCTGTCGGCAGCTGTCGTATCGATTTTACTTGGTTCAAGCAAACATTAAACAAACTTGAATAAATTGTCGTTAGGGTTCTCCTAACAATAATATCCAACTTATCCATCTAAATAACTTAGCTTTCAAGCTATTACCACGATAATTTTAACTGGGATGCAATGTAAAGTCATTATGCGTCGCAAGAAGAGCAGGATAAGTACCTCTATGGGGCTAGCCCTGTTCGGGTACAAAAACAAGACCTGACCTCCCTAGCCCTGGAGCCCACTAATACACTGACGGAACCCGCTAAAGCCGCCTATATCAACTACAGGGCTTCAGGACTGCAGTAAACCACTCGCTTTAGGAGCGATGGCATTGGAGGTTCCCGAAAATGATGGTTATGAGGTACGAACATCATCTATAGAAAGTGGCAGAGGGTCATTCTTGTGATAGCTAATAAATCCATGTAAACAGGTATACTAGGTACATATGACATACTTCCTTTAAATTATGAGGATTAGATTATTCAAGATTCGATTAAAGCATTGTTCAGCAATAGACAATTTCACTCACTGAATCGGAAGAGCACGCTCCTTCTCAAAAATGCCTAGCACCAGAAATATCGCTTAAACAAACAGTCTGGCCAAAGTTTACAATCACAGCCAATGATTCCCAGGGATCTGCTAAAGGGTCCAGTAGTGCAAGGTGCCGATGCAACCCCCCGTACAAGCGCCCTAGCCAGATTCCAATTCAGCCGAATGTCCCCTAATTGCCAAGGCTACACACTGAGACCCTACGATTCGCATTCTAGACAAATCGGCCATATTGTCGCAGACAGGGTCCTGCAAGGGCAGCTGTGAATATGTTTATCTAGACTGCGTGGTATTTGTTTCTCGCTCGTTCTGATTATGAAGGAATCTTTACTCTAGCAGTAACCTAAGGTGAGGGAGCAAGAAAGAGAAGAGCAAAACAAGTTGAATCCGCGTCGCTAACCGATGAGACTGTTGGGAATTGAAGGTCAATTCCCCGTACCAATGGCTATTGCATTAGCATTTCCATTAATAGTCGATACGTGAATCAGGCCCCGCGAGCGAAGTCTCGCCCGGGCCGTTCTCGAATCGTCATGACGCCGTTCCTTAAGAGCTTCCCGCGGCGGCGGCGGTTTCTTATGGTCATCCCGGTGCTAGCGCTGCTAGTCTGGGCCTTGCTCCCCCCTTCCAGGTTGAATTCTCCAACTACATTATTGTATGCTATCAAGGGCTCACCAGGGACATCTAGCGACTACATATTGCGATACGTCGATCCTCTCATCGGAACGGTAAATGGCGGTAGGTAGCAGGCATCATTTAAGTCCGTGGATTGAGAACTCTTACTGAGATTGTCATAGGTCACGTCTTTCCTGGGGCAACTTTGCCATATGGTGTGTGATTCGGATGAAAATACGCCTAGAATTTTCTTAGGTGCTAATCAATTGTTAGGTATGGCAAAAGCCGTGGCGGACGCGAATAACAACGGCGAAATAGCTGCCGGATTTGTCTCGGACGACTCGCAGATTCAGGGTTTCTCCCATTTGCATGATTCAGGTACTTAATGACTCTAATAATTTCACTAAACGATATGCTAATCTATAATAAGGTACTGGAGGAGTGAGTTGAGTAAACATTCAATAGTTGCGCAAATCTAATCAGGAACAGAGCCCTTCGCTGGGAAACTTCCCCCTCTTCGTACATCCCGGATGTCCCGATGATGACTTCTCCAAGTGCGCGTACACCAACATAGGGAGGGCCGTCGCGCGAGTGGAAGGCTCCGCAACAGCACGGCCTGGTTACTTCGCCATCGGTCTCAACAACTCGGTTTACGCCGAGATGACGGCAACGGAGCATGCCACGCTCTATAAGTTCAGCTTCTCCAAGGACGCAGAAGTAGAATCTCGGCACGTTATGGTACCTACTAATCCGTTAATCCTCGTTGATTTAATGGATCTGGGCGGCAGTCGATCCGGGGGTGATATCCAGGTGAATCCCGAAACAGGTAGGATAGCAGGAAACGGGTCTTTTAATCCGTCGTTCGGGACCGGAGCATATACAGCGCACTTCTGTGCAGATTTTAGGGGTGCCGAAATCCGAAAGACGGGCATTTTCCTGCACACCAACGTGACTGACGAGGTAAATGCGATGGGCAACCTAGGAAGCGACTTTTTCATACCGTCCGGCTCGGCTGGTGCTTGGATCCATTTCGCGCGGCCACCCAAGAATCAGATCATGGCACGTGTCGGCCTCTCATTTATATCCGTGGCGCAAGCCTGTCATAATGCGGAGACCGAGATCCCAGACTTCGGTTTTGACAGCGTAGTGAAGGCTAGCGAGAAAGCATGGAAGGAGAAGTTATCCGTAGTCAAACCCGACTACACGGGCATGAGCCAAGAGTTCTTAACGACGTTCTGGTCGGGTTTTTATCGTGCACTGATTTCGCCTCAGGACTACACAGGAGAAAACCAGCTATGGAACTCAACTGAGCCATATTACGACTCCTTTTACTGTATATGGGATTCTTTCCGCGCGCAACATCCTCTATTAACCATTGTCGATCCAACCGTACAGACTAAAATGGTGAGGTCACTAATCGACACGTACAAGCACGAAGGAAAATTGCCTGATTGCCGCATGAGCTTTAGCAAAGGTTACACACAAGGTGGATCTAACGCGGATGTCGTTCTCGCAGATGCGTTCATTAAGAACCTCACAGATGGCATCGACTGGAACCTTGGGTACGAAGCCGTGGTCTCTGACGCCGAGGAAGAGCCCAAGGACTGGTCGACGAGTGGCAGAGGCGGCCTAACTAGCTGGCATAGTTTCGGGTACATACCATACGACGACGTGGACCGCAACGGCACAGGGCCCATGACCCGCGGAATCTCGCGCACGGTGGAGTACGCGTACGACGACTTCGTGATCGCACTTATGGCACGGGGTCTGGGGCGCAAAGGCGACGAGACGAAGTACTTGCAGCGCAGCCGCAACTGGAAGAACCTCTTTAACCCAGAGCAAGAGGACCGGTACCGTGACGAGGCCGGCAACGTGCAGATGACGCAATTTAAGGGCTTTCTGCAGCCACGCTTCCGCAATGGCACGTGGCGGTACCAGAACACGCGGCTCTGCAGCCCCGTCTACCAGCAGCACAGCTGCTACTTCGACACGCAGTACGAGACGTACGAGGGCAGCCCCTGGCTGTACACCTTCTATGTGCCGCAAGACATGGCCTCGCTCATCAAAGCGCTCGGCGGCCGCGAAGCCTTCGTCGAGCGCCTCGACTACTTCCACTCCTCAGGCATCAACTACATGGGCAACGAACCCAACTTCCTCCCCACGTTCCAGTTTCACTACGGCGGACGCCCCGGCCGCAGCAACTACTGGGTGCACCAGTACATCCCGAACCAGTTCAACAGCAGCATCAACGGGATCCCGGGCAACGACGACTGCGCCATGGGCGCCTTCACGGCCTTCGCGTTCATGGGCTTCTACCCCGTCGCCGGCCAAAACGTGTACCTGCTTACGGCGCCGCTGTTCCGCGAGGTCAGCATCCAGACGCCGAGCGGCAAGCTAGCGACGCTGCGTAACGCGGGCGGCTTCGATGCGCCGCGCTACCGCAACATATATATCCAGAGCGCCAGGCTGAATGGAAAACCGTATACGCGGAATTGGATCACTCACGACTTTTTCGTCAACGGCGGCACGTTGGAGTTCATACTAGGACCTACGGAGAGCGATTGGGGTACGAAGGACGAGGACTTGCCGCCTAGTTTGTCGACGGGGTTACAGGACTGAGTGGAAGAATGCACCATTTTCGTGAGAGTGGAACGTACTAAGTAAGACTTAATTTGCAGCTGGAAAGGTGACTCAAACGTTCTCTGAATGTTGAGAATTTGATTACCTTACATAGGTGCTAGTTAGTTAAATACGGAAGGACATACATGATCTCAATTTCCCAATAATATAGCATTGAAATCATCCGAATAGGGCCAAGGAACTAACCTCATCAAGAAGTTCCTTGGATTATGAGGGTGCGCTCTTTTTTGACTAGGGTTCGATTAAAAACATGTGGCGTTGAAACACGATGCAAAAAGAAGCTCTCGATCGGGGAATCGAACCCCGGCCACCTGCGACTTTGTCTTCGGTAGATGACAAGCAGGTATCCTGACCACTAGACCAATCGAGATTTTATACACTCTCACGTGATTGGCTACCTTGTGCACAATGGGGCTCTATATAGCCTAGCCCTCAGCCTAATTGTTCGTAGTCTGCTGGCTATCTAGAGCTTGATTGTGTTATCTCTACTAGTTCATTTTGGTGGAGCTAGATATATATAATCGTGGGTCCTGGTTAAAAAACGGGATCCATTTGATAGAAAATTTGGGTAGTTCTAATACTAGGTACTTGGGTAAGAAAGTTGGGGCTGGTTCCGCTAGGCCGGTACCTGAATTCGCAAAATGCGACAGATGGATCGTTATATTATGTGCTTAGTGTAGTGGCTTCGCGTGGTGGAGATGCGGGCGGCGGGCAAGTATTAGAGGCAAACGACGCTAAGGATATATATATATATTTCCCTAATTAATTCCCCCGGCATAGTAAAATGTCACACTTGTCCACTGAGTCATTCCTAGTAGGCGTTCTAGCTCCTCCAGCGGACACATTCCCTTAACTTAGTATATACTACCGTACTCCTACACATCCACCCAAGAACGGCAATACAAGGACTGAGACATCATACAGTAGACCGCCCGAGACCCAAGGCGAAGGGTCCAAACCTTAAAAGCGGAACTAAAAAGTGAATGCCGTCCACTCACTCCTCCTTAGCGACGACGCACGTTCCTAATCTACAAGACATCGCTTTCATCATCACCATCGCCCTCCTCCTCCTCCTGCCCCTGCTCCTCTTCCCCGCCGTCAGCTTCATCAGAATCGCTATCGAGATTAGGATCGGGCATGACGACGCTATTAAGGAACGTGACCTATAGTTACGCCCAAGTAAGCCAATGCAACAAAGCCAGGAGAGATACCTAGGTGCCTAGGTAGGTAAGCACTACTCACAAATTCAACCATAGCCGAGATGACACTCATAACCCTGTCCTGCGCATCCTCGGCGAGGAGGTCCTTGTCATCGAGCTTCTTGCCAATAGTGTAGTTGCGCAACTTCAAAAGCTCGATGTATTTGTGCTCCGGGTGAAAGCCCTAGTTTTACCTAATTAGCATAGGTAACCTTAGGTACTCAGGTAACTAAGACGAGGAGAGGTATATAAGCCTCGAGGAGTTACATATGTAGGTAGGTTAGGTAGGTTAGGTAGGTACCTTCGGTTTTGTCTTCAGCGCATTCTCCTTGTTCGCCGCGGCGAAGGCGGAAAGCACGGACTTCTCGTTGGCCTTGGCCTTGGGCAGGAACGTCTTCCGGAACGTCGGATTCATCAGGACGCGGCGGATGCGGTGGGGCCTCTCGTCGATGCTCGCGCGCAGCCGAGCCAGCGCGTCGTTATCCGGATGCCACAGGCCGCCGCCCACCATACACCGGCCGGGCTCGGCGTGGACGTAGTAGCACGCGTAAGGGCCCTTCCTGCCCGTTCGCGACCACGCAGCTGAGTAGTGGGGCTATTGATAAAGTTCCTCCCGTTAGAAATGAATGGTTCCACGTTTTCCTACGACTATAGTGGAATGGAAAATAGGAGAAAGAAAAAAAGGAGCAGGGGAATCTACCTTATACGGAGTCGGATCTTTGCTGAATCGGATATCGCGGTAGATCCGGAAGACGACGTCCTTTATAGGAAGCTCCGGGATCGTGAAATCGGCCTCGATAATCTTGAACGTGAGTGTCTCGACGAACGATTCCCAGTCCTTGAGCGACCTTCGGTATTCCCCATCGTTCGCTAAAATGGCCCTGTGTTAGAATCTAATAGGAGATCGATGACCCGCTCCCAGGTATCTGAGCAGAGGGGACGAAATCATGGATATCAACTCACTTTTAAGCCAACTCCTCTTGTTGTTAGCCCTGAGATCCTTCAGGAAGAGCAGTGTATTTTTATGGAGTCGGGTATCCTCGTAGTCCACGCCATCAGTGTCTCGCAATTGAACCGCTGCGACACCCCGTATTAGCATTATACTATCAACCCGCCCCCAATCCCGAAAAGAGCAAGCCCCTACACGGCGTAGTACTTACCAGGGATAAAGGTAATGCGATTATCTTCGTCGTCATCATCGTCATCCTCATCCTCTTCAGATTCAGCCTTCACTTGCATCTTGGCTTTCGCTTTAGCCGTAGGCTTAGCCTTCGGCGTATCGGAGGCCCGGGCCTTCGCACTAGCCTTCTTAACGGGCGTGGCCTTAGCCGTCGCTTTCGCCGGCCTCCCACGACCGCGTTTCTTCGCCACAGGTGGCGGCTCTTCGCTTTCCGAGTCATCATCATCGTCATCATCAGATTCCTCCTTGTCCTCTTCGAAGCCATCATCCGCATCGCCCTCGGGCCAATTGTCTTCTTCCTCTTCGTACTGCAATTCGTCCTCCGACTCTTCTACCGTACTCTTCCTCGACTTAGCCTGCGTTTTCGCCATCTTTCGGGGCGGCGCTCCCACGTCTAATTCGTCATCGTCGTCGTTGTCCTCGAAGTATGTACTCTTCTTGCCGCCCAAGCTAATCCGATTGGATCTCCTTCGCGAGCTTCCGCCGGTAGCCGGGCTAGAAACAGCCTCGGCTGCGGTGCGCTTTCTCGGGGGCATGGCTAAAAGTTCTGGTATCCTTATTAATCTCTCAATTCCGGATTGGTTTCTTTAAGCTTCTAATGGGTGGCAAAGATGTTGAGCTGAGACGGTTGATGACGCGTTGAAGCAGATCGCGGGGTGGCGAAGGGACACACGCTATCACGTGATTACTTGATTTATAATGCGAGTCAGAGTGTTACCTAAAATAGCTTCATTCGGCGTCTCTAATTGTCTTATCCCCGACCCCTACGAAGCACTAATAACTTATCGTGAATATTAGACCAGATGGATTCATAAGAGTTAAGATAGATAGATGGAATATGTCACAAAATGGCCCTGGAGATATGTTCAGTTATCTCAGCTTTTTTACTATGTAGTATTCTATCGATCTCGATCTCGACCCCTTGAATTGGAAGAGCAGGGGATAGATGTACTTGGTATATGGGGATATATTGATACGCTGCATCTAGCTGCTGCCACTATATTTCCCTGCCATAGTGCAGCAGTTCTGCAACACTTTATCCCCATTAAATTCCCGCGAATATATTAACTTCCTGGGGTGTTAATAGCCGGGGCCACCAGTTCCTTTCGAGAACACCACCACATAGGCCCTTGTTCAAGGTCCTATAATATACCTATGGCGACCTATATCCATAGTGCTTCGGATAGTTCTGTGACAGCTAGTGCTGTTATTGACTGGTCCCAGCGTTCTCAAAGGCTTCCTTTGGCAAGCGATGCAACCATTTTCGGGGTGACGGAACCTTCTAGAGAATAGCTAACTAAGGACAGTTGCTAGCAATTAGCTCCGTATTAGTGCCTGGCCGGAAGGTTATGGCAATGCTTGGATACGCCTAATTATCTGATGCCTTCGTAGGAGGATTCGTAAGAGCCGAATCAACCAAGTCCTGAACTGGACGCCATACGGCCCAATGGTGTTCTATCCCTTGGTTTCTCTAGCAAATCCGCATATCCTTCCAGCCCAGCACCGATTACTTTGACAATATCGAAAATATGGGATCCTTTGAAAGTCTCGGCCCAAAGTCGGATTACGGCAATGGCGAGCTGACGGAGCTTCGTACCATCATTCGCAGCCATGTCCATACTCGACGGTCCATGCCCGGGACCTCCTCCCGACAGTGAAGGGTCAATTGGCACAGCGAATTCTGTTTCGTCAAGCATATGGCGTAACATCTCGAGAAGATTCCGTTCGTCGAGTTCTGGAGAAGCGCCCGTCGGACCGATCGAAGCAAGAGTCATTAGCCATTTTGAGAGGAGAATGGCGCATTCTAAATTGCATACTACGCTGAAGTTAGATCATACTTCTCCTTTCACAGGGCTCTATATTAGCATTCCGTAAATACTTACGCGAGTGTTGCATACTCCATTCCGACGATTTCCTCCTAGCTACGTAGTTGACGCCGACTTTGACCAACATTGATAACGCATGTATAGCCTGGAAGACAGCTCGATTAAGCCGCCCGCTGCGGACGAGATACGGCGCATCATGGAATGCCTGAGCGATCTGACTCGCATCTCTTGTTTCGAGAGTTCTACTAGGGCTCAAATCGGTGTATAGCCGAATGGAAGCCAACCGCCAAAGCGCGGTCGAATTATAAGCGACAGGACCTCCGGGGAATACATCCGAGCCGTTTTGATGGGTATTCTCTGTCACGCGTGCTTGATGCTGTTCGAAGCTCATTTGCCATATTCGTAGAGCTTGGAAGCAATCTTCGACATCATCCTGACGTAGTCCGCCAAAAAGCGAGACAGAATTGAACGATGTCTGCTTCAGGAGGAAAATATGTTGTAATATGGCATGGATGAGGATGTAATTACCGAGAGACGACATATATGCCGGAGGGCCTTGTGGCGGTCGACTAAATAACCTCGAAAAAGCGTCTTGAAGAGATATATCCATACTTGGGAAAGATTGCCGAGCATCCTGCCACTGCCAGGCCGTTTCTGCCCTCCAGAGTTTCGAAGAATGCGGAAGAATCAAGCTGAGTTCCGACGTAAGTAGTAGAGGCGGCATATTGTAAGCAATACTGCACAAGTTAAAGAAACAATACGTGATGAGTTTTGTGCGGTTAGCTCCTTCTATTCGCACCCATGCTTCCCAGTCGGCCGTTTGTGTCGATTCTGATAAAAATCCTTCTTCGCGGACTAAAAGAGCTAGAAGGCTCTGGAGGGACAAGGCTTCGCGAAGAATGGCTTTCGCACCCCAGAGACCAACGGCGAAAAGTAGAAGTAGTGCCTGGATGGTTTCCATGCGAGATTGAGGCGTATTCGGTGAGCTTAAGAAGAATGTTAGCAACCTATTAAGAGATAAAACTTTAACCTGTATGATATGGTTTTCTTACTATGGTTCTCGGTGTGTATCCTGGGTCATCGGGCGCTCTTGTTGGACGGAACTGAAAGAATGACGAAACCCATGGCTCGGAGATGGCCGCGTAGAATGCGGGCTGTATGCTGC